TATCAATAAACTCATCATCAGAGAATGAAGATCTCACTCAACTCAATAATTAAAAAATACATTATGTATTCTTAACAATTAACAAAGCAGATAAAGTATTTTAATGTTTAATTAAAACTAACTAAATTTTATATACTAGAAATTAACTAAAAAATGTATAAAAATAGCTGAACTTATTGAAAAAGTGAAAACATTGGAAGAAAAAATGCAATTTTGTTACCTAGTTTACCTGCAGTTTATTGATATTAACTGATAAGCAATTAGCCAAGGTTCTGAGCTGTATAATGCAAGCATTTACATGTCTAAAAATTATGGTTTAATAAAAAAATTTGGAAATGGTGAAATGGTTGGTTTGCTGAATTCACAAAAGAATGTTAACAAGGATTGTTAAATTGATTATGAAAAAACTAACAAGCTAATAAATTCACAAACTAATAATAATAATGAAATTGGCATTTAGATTCAAGTCTCAATAACTATATAGTTAAACTATTTAGTCTGATATCATTTCCAATGAATTGACTGAGTTTGAAAAATTAAATTAAAAAAAAAAGGTAAATTAGGATTTGCAACACTATTATAATCTACTGTAAGTGTGACATAATTACTTACATAAATAATTAACAGTGTTTAGAGACTTCCTTTCTTAATATTTTCACAATAAATGAAGTTTTCTCAGTAAATTTTGTTTTGAAAATTGTTACATAATAATTAGTTTTAGTTCCATGTATATAAAATATTCTGAAATAGCTTCATGATAAAATCATTGTATTCCTTATAATAATGCCTAATGATTGGAAGAAGCTTGCAAAGTACTTGGGTATTATTGATGAAAAAATTAATTGTGTTTTAAATATGTTTAAAATCAATATTAAAATATTAAAACTTAAAAATTTTGTTGTTAAAATTTTAACAACATTAATTATGACAATATAAATGCTTTTATTAATTACTATTATAGTAATTACATGTTGTATAATGTTATTATTATTCTTGCAGTATTCAACTTGTAATATGGGTTACTTGTGAATAAATCGTTGACTAAAATTTAAATTGATATAATATCTGAAAAATATAAAATAAAAATTTATATATTAATTATCTTTTTAGAAATGTTTTGGTTTATAGTTATGATATAAAAAAACACATAAACCCAGTTAATGTAACAGCAGGCACCAGAGTAGAAAAGCTAAGTACAGATTGCCATTACTTGAAGGGAAATAAAAAGAAATAAAAAAAATTATCATCTTATATTACAATTGTATTAATTTACATTAAAGTTTTTTAACTTTAATGTAAATTGATACAATTGTATTATAATTTTTAATATATATATATATATATATATATATATATATATATATATATATATATATATATATATATATATATATATATATATATATATATATATAGGCTTTGGAAAGCAGGAGCGATCTCTCTCGATTGCTGACCACGTAAATAATATTTAGTTGCGAAAAGCTGGCCAGATTTTTTAGTAGTTTTGAGAACATTTTAAAAAGCAAAAAAAAAAAGCGACGAAGAATAATTGGACCAATGAGAGACAATTACAAAAAAAAAAAAAAAAAATAGGCAAATAAAATATCTTTAAACGCGAAAAAACTTTAAGCTATATAAATTACATTTAGAACAAATATTTTCTAAACATCGCTTTTTTATAATTTTTTTTTATAAAATTAAGCGATGTTTTTTATATAAAGTAACAACTTACGATTGTTTAAAAGAGAAACAAATATTCTTTATTTAACTAAGTTTGAAAGTTTTAGTTTTACTTAAGCTTAATTTATTTTATATATAAAAAAGTTAATTTTTGTAATACCTATTTTATGTTTCGCGTAGTTTAAAAAGTTTAACATATTTGAAGCGATTCTTCTTAGTAAGATAAACAAATGAAATAATTAAATCATTGAATTACTATAGGAATTATATTATCAAGATAGAAATCAACTAAAAAAGTTAAAAACACTTAATGACCAGGAAGTGAAACTGCTTCACAATATTGCTGATGATGTTTAGTAAGTGGGCTTTTTAATTTTAATTATTATTTAAAGCAGAAAAAAGTATAACGAGTTTTAAGAATGGCAACTTAAGCGAAAATAATTAGAGTTAGTAAACCAATATCTAGAAACTTTTCTTTATATCTAATTATTTGCTATTATATATTTATGTTTTGTCGTGACCTTAGGCGCGATGCTTGTTCATCCGCGAGTTACTTTGTATGCGTTGTTTGTGTTTAGTAACCAGACACTTCTTATATGTTTGTTACATAATTAGTTTTATTAACTTTAACGATTATAACTTCATTAAAAACGCAATTATTTTTGTAAGTCTTTGTTTAAATCATAAAAATTGCTTTAAAAGATACATTACGATAAAAAACAAATACACAAAATTACATTTACATAAAGAATACAATCTCTTTTAAAATAAAAAATAAGAATATACTAATAAAATGTATGATTTATAATAAACTTTTAAAATTTTAACAATTTAATTAATATATATTTAAAACATTTGTTTTTGTAAACAAATAATATATACTCTTAGAAATCTCAAAACGTAACAAGTTGTGAATAATACAATTTCTAAACATTTTAACAGAATACTCTAGAACTTTATTTTGCTTAATCAGCGTATTTTTTGAACCAATAGAATTAGTTTGTTTGTTAATTTGGCAGGTTTTTAGTGTTCGCAAATATTCTTTTTATTCTTTCGCACAAAGATGTTTTGAGAACATTCAAGTTTTTTATGTTTCCATGTATGTCCGTAAAATAAAAATTCTTTGTTTCGTACATAAACTTAAATGTTCTCAAAACGACTAAAAACCCTGGCCAGTTTTACGCAACTAAATATAATTTCCGCGGTCAGTATTCGAGAGCGATCGCTCCCGCTTCCCGACCAAGCCTGTATATATATATATATATATATATATATATATATATATATATATATATATATAAATATATGTATATATATATATATATATATATATATATATAAATATATATATATATATATATATATATATATATATATATATATATATATATATATATAAATATATGTATATATATATATATATATATATATATATATAAATATATATATATATATATATATATATATATATATATATATATATATATATATATATATATATATATATATATATATATATATGTATATATATATATATGTATATATATATATATGTATATATATATATATTTATATGTTTTATGGTCAGATCTTTGTATCAAATAATTTTTGCCATATATATGTATATATATATGTATATATATATATATATATATATATATATATATATATATATATATATATATATATATATATATATATATTGTATTTGTGTTGTTTATGTGTTTGTATTTTCCATGGTATGAAATAATAAACACCAGATTACTTCAATTTTAAAAGTAAATTGCTTGAGTAAAAGAATAATTAGCATAGTTAAAACTAGTTGTCATTTTGTCAATTTCATTAATGTTATTTGTGATTTGGTCTTATTCATCAAACATTGGCTCAGCCTTGGTCTACTTCCTGCCTAGCTTAGCTTGGCTGTATTAGTATTTATCTTTTCATAGAATTATAGATAAAACATAAATCAGAAAAAAATAACTGAATCTAGTATTATTATTCAACAAAAATGAAATAACAAAATTTAAAATAAAATAAAAAAACATTCTTCAACAACTGAAAATTGAAAGTCAGTCAGGTACTTATGTTGACTAAACTTTCTAAAGAGTGTAAGCCTTTAATTTTGCAGTTAAAACTTCCCAAATTTTGCCATAATTATGAGCCTTGGTTTAAATAAATAAATGCTTAACTCATAAGCCTAATGTAAATTTGACATCATAAAATTTTGTTTCTTTATTTTTTTTAAGACATCAAAACTACTGCAATGAAACAAATTTCCACAGAATCATTTAAAAAATTCTTAATTAACAATAATAAACAATCAAGAAATGTTGTTACGGATTGTTAATTTTTTATAAGATTAAATAATTAAATTTAGTATTACATTTTTTTAAATTTTCATTATTATATCTTAAGTTTTTCTTAGTATTGGCTACTAAAAAAGGATTTTTTATTTTTAAAAATTTAGTGAGTAAAAAAAAAGGTTAAAATTATTGAAAAAAAAAAATTTTAGTTGCTTTACCAATGATATTTTTGTGAAAGCAAAGATTATTTTAGGTTTACAAATACCATTTGTTTAAAAATATGTTGCTACGCTTTCACATGCCTTAGGAGAAAAAGATGAAACTGCAAAGAAAGAAGATGAAATAGAAACAAAGGAAAAGGAGAGGTTTTAGAAATTTAAAAGAATTTTAACAGACTAAGTAACTAATGGTATTGAATATTGACTGTGCTTTTCATAATTAAGATTATACGCAATGTCTTATCAATGTTAAATTTTATATTATGTTATGTCACTTTACTATATATTATATGTTATTATAGTTTTTTTTGTTTTTAAACTTTTTTTTTTTGGTTTTACCAATGTATGTGTTTTGTGTTATGATAAACATTTAATAACATCAAAGTTACGCATTTAGGTTAAAATCGTTCTCAATAAAAAAGTTTTATATTCTGAATATGTTAAGTTGCGTATTTTGAATATATTATGAATAGTTCACATTTCTATCAAATTTTCCAAGCATTTTTCAGACGTTAAGTTAATGAACAACTTTTGTATAGAACATTATATGCGTATTTACAGGCATAAAAACAGAAAAATAATTTTATGCATACATATGCATAAAATTATTTTTCTGTTTTTATGAAAACATGTCATTTAATTTTTTTTTTAAAGCTCTTATTAATTATGTAAACATTAGTTATATAAATAATGAAGTCTTTTTTAAAATTCTATTTTAAATTTCTATAAAATTATTTTTTAATTTTTTCTAAATTTGTCTTTTAAAAATTATTATTTAGAAGTTTAATTATTTTTTTAGATTATAACTATTGTGAACCGAATTTATGCAAATATGATGGAACCTGTTCTTCTTTAAATGGTGGTTTTCAATGTTTGCAGGAAGAGTACGATGAGAATAAAAATGAAAGTAAACTTTAAACTTTATAAATTTATTCTTTACCAGTTTTACAAAATCAAAAAAAGTTAGTTTTCATTAGAAATTACTCTTTTTTTAAGAAGAAAAAAATGGGTGAAATATAAAAGGTCAGATATAAGTCTTTTTGTCTTCACTTTCTATTATTCTTAATACTTTGCATAATTGATGTTGCATTATTATGAGTCATTTTTTATAAGAATGCAGCAAAATTAGCAATTTGAAATAGTTAAGTTATTAGATTTTCTTTAAAGTTTCAGGAAAAATCTTCAAATCATTTTATGAGAAAATGCTGAAAATTTGAGACCATAATTCAAAGCGATTTAAAAGTTATTGCTTCAAAGTTTCATAAAATGTTGACTTACACTTTATTTAAACATATAAATGTTACATTTAAACATATAAGACTTTGAAAAAAGTTATTTTTCAATGCAGTTAAAAATTTTTTTAGAAATGAGAAGATGTGCTGAGTATGAATGAATGTAATATCAAAAAAATGAGTTTTTTAAATACTTGAAAAATCTTTTTCCTTGTAACTTACCAACTTCAGAACCATTCAATAAAACAAATTCTGAACTTTTGACCATCAAGTCTCTGGTTATTCCAGGCTTTTTTTTTTTTTTTATTTTATTTTAATTCACCTCCTCAAGGCCGAGAAGGCCACTACAGACAAGGAGGCTACTTATTTGTGGCTATAACCCTCTCTCAACTCTATAACTCCGAAACACAAACCTTGACGAACAAGGCCGCTGCGCGGAGAAACGAGTTAAGCGCGGTACTACCAGGGACGTGGTGGGGATCGAACTCGGAACCACTCGTTTATGAAGCGAGCGCTCTACCACTACACCACTACCGCTATGGTTATATTATAGGCTTATATTAGAATGTTATAAGTTTTTAAGAAAGAAAGTCTTTTTTACTACAAATACAGCCAAACTTATTTAAAACTCAAAATTTGTCTAGAAATTATATCTCAAAACCTCAGCTGTTTCAAAAATTATAAAATTTTTTGAATACTTTGAATAGCCAAAAATCAATGTGTCAAAGAGCTATTGAAGTAAAGTTTTTGAAAATAAACATATAGGCTCTCAATAAACTAAAAGACTTAAATAGGCGGTTGTGCTTTAATAAAGATACCCTTTATTCAAAATGACCTTTGACACAATAAAAACAAAACCTTTTCAAGAACCAGTAGTTATTTAATAAATAATATTTTTCAGCTTTGGTCTCTGGTAGTTGTTTAATATATGAAATTTACTCTGAATCATGCTGTATTTAAATATCATACTTTTAGCTATACATACAAAAATTAGATTTATGTTTAAAGGTGTTTAATACATTAAAAATATTTTTGCTAAATTTTTTAAATTTTCTATTATGGTGCATATTATTATAATGGATATAATACCATTTCTGTAATAAATTTTTAATATTATGTGTAATTTAACATTATACATTATAATATAATAGTTCATTATTTATCATGACTCAATTCATGAAACATCTTTTATAGCTAGGGTTGAGCTTTTACTGAAAATTTACCAGTAAATCAGTAAAATTGTTTTACCAATTTACCGGTAAAATTATGTCAGTACATTTTGGTAAATAATTTTTACTATACCTTACTATAAGTTAAACAATTCATTTGAAATCCCTAATTATGAAATTAATTTTCTTTCCTTTGTTATCTTTGTGAATAATATTTTGCTGTATAAAGAAGTTATGATTTTCAGCCACACCTAATAGAGTATTAGTTTTCTTACTGTTTAAACTTTCGTTATGATTTCTTTATCACTGTCAGAAACCCACATATCATTCCCAATGTTATGAATACTGTTTTCCTTTACATAAATCAGAACTCCTCTACCTTGTTTATGTGTTTGTCTCTATAACAAAAATCTAAAAAACGAAGATGGTGATCAGAATTATAATGCTCATAAAATGCATCAAAATATATTAAAAGGTTTGAAATGGCATAATAAATTAAAACTTTATTAATCACTTATTAACTAAGCTGTTTAATTTTTTGGAAACTAATTCTGTTGGTTAAGTTTTGTCTGAACATTTTAAGAAAGATATTACTTTCTTGTGATATATTTATTGCTGCATTTATCAATCACTTTGATTTGCTTTTGCTCAAAATGTCAGACGTTCGGAAACACTACACCTTAAACAAAGAAAAAACAGGGACTTGTAAAATATATGGAAATACCAGTAAATATTCAAGTTCCACAACTGGAATGTGGTATCACATAGACAAAAAACATGATATCAAAAAAGAAACATAGGAGAAGTTGACAAGAAAAGCTGTAACAGAACCAAAAAAGCCCAAGATTTTAACTTTTTTCCCAAAGCAACCATTTAAACAAGTGATTTCAAGACTTACAGCACTTCTTTGAAAAATTGAAGGCACATGAATATTAATATTCAACAAAAGCACACAATATGGGCTTGAATAAAATTTCTGGATCACTGACAGCTGAAAAAACTGCAGCAGTTGTCACAGAAAAAGTGGCAGAATTTGGGTTGAATGTTAGTAACAGGATTGTCAGCTCATTTACGGATAGAGCTTCCACGATGGTTAAGCCCAGAAAACTTGTTTTAACTGAGTATCAAATGTGTTAGACCCATCGAATTCATTTGGCAGTTCACGAAGTGCTCAACGAGAAGCTCTTCTGAAAAATTATTAACAACAAACTGCAAGTAACAAGCGACACTGATGAAGTCAGCAGTGACGAATCTGAATATGACACCAACGTCAGTTTTCTTGATGCTACTATGGATGAAAACATTCCCATTTCAAAAGTGAAAGTGTACTTACAATCTGTCATCATAAAAAGTCCAAAAAATTGTCAAGTTGTTCTGAAAATCTCCAGTTTTTTCTCCACTTTTTTCCAGTTATGAAGAAATAAACATTTTATATGACATTGTTGCTGCTCTTGATTCAGTCAAATTGGCAGCAGAAGCCCTTTGCTGCCAGGATGCAACTTTTCTTACTGCTGAGGGAATTTTTAAGTTTCTTATTAACAGATTGAAACAAGAGATTCAACTCTTCGCACTGCAACAAAGAGTACAATTTTGAGACGTTTAGAAAAGAGAAGGCAGAACAATCATGTAAGCTTTTACAGATACCTTTCCAATCCAGAATGTTTATCTAACATTGAAGAACATGGAGTTTTCAAAATACCTTCAACGTCTGTACTTCAAAAGACTGCCAAAAATTTATTGTCTAGACTGTTCCCAACAAATCCAGATTACTTAGAATTCATTCAAGAAGTATGTAGCTCAGATAATCTTGATAAAAATCCACTTTCACTTAAAGATGAACTTTAAGAAGCAAATCAGCATTCGGCTAAAAAAACAGCGCCTCAATTTAAACAATAAATTCAGAGCCATTTTAAAAGAAATGTTGGTCTATAAAGCTACTGGAAAGAGAAATGCCAATCTTGAGCTTTTGTTCAATGCACTGGAGACTATTTCTCCAACAATAAATTTGGTCCAAGTGAGCCTTTTCTGCTGCTGGATTATTTGTCGCAAAAATTTGATTCAGAATGAATGACAACTTACTTGATACACTTTGTTTATTCAAAGCTCAATTTTTATCAGTATAACAATTATCAATAAAGGTATTAGATCCAAATCTTATAAAGACTTTATTTTGAAATAAAAAAAAAATTGTATACAAGTTTCTATGACTTTTTTATTATTTACCGATTTTACCGATGTTTACCGGTAAATTATGCTTTTTTTACCAAATTACCGGTAAACTTAAAAATCTGTAAAAGCTCAATCCTACTTAAAGCGTATAAGTTTCATGAACCATAACAAATAAGTTGTGGTTCATGAAACTTATGGTATATGATTTCTATAAAATTACAAATATTATTAAATAAGTGCTGTTACAATGACTAATAATTAATATTATAAACATGTTATTTGATTTTTTGATAGGATGTTTGTGGATTGTTTATATAAATTTACACGAGATTTAAAAGGTGCAGAGTTTGATTTGAAGTTATAAAAGAGTTTGATTCAAAGTTGAAATAAAATAAAACAATCCTTTGATAAAATGCTCGAAGATAATAATGTTGACTATTAAAATGTTGTCTATTTGCTGAAGATTCATATGGAGAGCATTTAAAAAACATGTAATTGAATTGTTAATGCATTTCAAATTAAAATTAAAAGCGCTTTCAAATTTATTTTTGATAAAAAGGAAGAATTTTTTAACTTGACTGCTCTTTACTATTTAAGAATTAAACTATTACGTAATTACTATTTAAAATACAAATTAATTTAATTACTAATTTACTATTTAATTCTTTAAATAGAAAGTTTGGGTAAGTTAAAAAGTTCTCCTGAGTAAGTTCAAAAATTTAACTTTCCTATGTTTATACTTATGTAATTTAATGATTTTATGACAAAAAGATTAAAACCTTAAACCTAAAGACCATAAAAAAGTTAGCATCACCCTGCTAAATGTCTATTCAGTAAACACACAAACATCTATTAAACGTCAAAATAATGTTTTGATAAAATGTTCAGATTTGTTCGATTATACGTTAAGAATGAAATCCAGATTAACATTTAGAACATAGGTCCATAAAATGTCTATATTTTTTATATTTTTTATAATTATTAGTATTTGTTTATAAACTTTTATACTATACTACTTATACTCTACTTTTATTTTATAAAAATAAAAGTAATAAAAGTTACAAACTTATATAAAACGTTTTCACATAAATATATATAAAGTTACAAACTTATATAAAACGTTTTCACATAAATATATATAAAGTTACAAACTTATATAAAACGTTTTCACATAAGGAAAATTAGAAAAAAATGTTTGTGCACAATGTTTATGTTTCGATAATTAAAACAAATTAAATGATCAAGCTTTTTGCAGTGGAAACTTTATAGTATCAAATTTTATCAAATATTTTTTAATTTAATCTCATTAGCAGAAAATAAAAGTTTGTATTAAGATT